GGTTAGCAGGTGGGTCTGATCCAGGCTCCTTTCAAATTTCTGCTTCTGCTCTGGGTCTCAGAGTGTGTGAGATTTTGTGTGTACCCTTTAAGAGTGGAGTTCCTATATTCCCCGCAGTCCTCTGGGCCTCCTGAATGTAAGCCCTGCTGGCCTTCAAGGACAGATGTTCTGGGGCTCATCTTCCCATTGCAGGACCCCAGAGCTGGGAGCCTGATGTGGGGCTCAGAGCCCTCATTCCTTGAGGGGAACCTCTGCAATTGTAATTATTTTCTCGTTTGTGGGTCACCCACCCAGTGGTGTGTGTCTTTCCTATACTACGACTCTGCCTCCTCTGCCCGTCTCGTTGTGATTCCCGCTTTTATATCCTTTTTTAAAAATTTTTTTACTTTTTAAAATTTTTGACTGCATCGTGCAGCATGTGGGATCTTAGTTCCCCGACCAGGGATCGAACCCGGGACCCCTGCATTGGAAGGCAGAGTCTTAACCACTGGACCACCAGGGAAGTCCCCCCACTTTATATGGATAGTCATAGATCTCTTCTGCTAGATTCTGGTCTTTCTCTTGAATAGTTTTTCCGTAAATAGTTGAAATTCTGGTGTACCTGTGGTAGGAGGTGAGCTCAGGGTCCTCCTACGCCACCATCTTGGACCAGAACCTCATTAAGCAACCATGTTTATCCCCATTCTCCATAACCGTATCCGTATATCTTGCTCAAGGTCACATGGCCAGGCAGGGGTGGAGCAGGCCTGCAAACCCTGCTGAGGTTGCCATGACCCTCTCCTGCCTGTGCAGCTGGCTGTGTCAGAGGGAACAGGAGCTGCCATCTGGGGAGGCCCGAGAGCTCCCCTTGGCAGGCAGGGGCTCCTGCACGTGGCCTCCATCGTTCTCTCCTTCACGGAATCGTTTCTCAGTCATTCACAAGTGATGGGCACCTTCCAGAAAGCTGCTGCCGCTGCCGCACGCTTACCCCGGGCGTAACCAGGCACCCCCTTCCCTCGTTGCTCCTAAAATAACAGGAGCTCCTTCACCAGGCCTGGCTCTACACCCGGCTGCTGTGTCTCCAGTTGGTCTGCAGCCCCCAGGGCGCTCTCCTAACTCAGAGCCTCTCCAGGCAGCCCTGCTTCCTCTCCCCGCGCTCACAAGGCCCAGACTCTTGGGTCCATTCTCCAAGTCTCCTCGAAAAGGCCTCTTCCTCGGGGAAGCCTTCCCCACCTCCCTTCGCAGCCCCTGCTGACTGTCAGCATCGCGCTAGTCCTTTGTAACATTTCATTTGTCTTCTCCTCGGGACTGTATGCTCCAGGCTGCTGCTTCTCAGGCACCCAGCAAAGTACCTCATTCACGGGAGATGATCAAAAGTGCGTTTGTCAAAAAGGAGGTGCTGGTGCGTGCCGTAGCACGGTGAACCTGAAAACGTGCCCGGTGCGGAAGCCAGGCACAAAAGACCACCCGTCACGTGATTCCATCTGCATGAAATCTCCAGAAGAGGGACATCTATAGAGACAGAAAGTAGATGAGTGGCTGCTTAGGTCTGGGTTGTTGGGGAGAGGGGCGGCGGGTGATAGCTAACAGGTACAGGGTTTCTTTTTGAGATGAAAATATCCCCAAATTTACTGGTGATGGCTACACAACTCTGTAAAGATACTAAAAACCGTAGAATTATACACTTTAAGTGGGTGAATCATATGGTATGTGAATCATATCTCACTAAAGCCGTGAAAAAAGTTTTTTTTAACACACCTGTCTGGCTGACGGGCTGGCATTCGGTGTGTGTTTGTTAAAGATGCTCAGAGTCCTGAATAACCAAGTCCTGTCATCGGGATGTTGCCGTGACTTTTAGCCACAATGAAAGAGAGACGTCTCTGGTCTCTAATATAAACCAGGGTCCAGCGTGACCGTTTTCAGGCAGCCCCTCCTGCACATTCAATACCGAGCACCACCCCTACGCTTGGCTGGGTCCCGACAGGGGAGGGAAGGCTCGGGGTGCGTGTCCCAGCTTGCAGATTGGGAAACAGGCATGGGAGGTCTGGCGACCAGCCCGACCTCACTCAGCAAGACAAGTGGCAGCCAGGAATAGCACAGGGCTTCGAACTGCGCCCCGCTTGCTGTAAACACCGAGCCACGCCCCCCTTCATGTGTCTGATTTTAAAAGGGACCATAAAATAGGAGCCTGGTAGCAGCGGCACCAAAACCGAAGTTGGGCTTGAGCCGCTGGAGGAACTAATCCCGTCTCTGCGTTCCAGTCTGCAGGGACAAGTGGGGAAGGCCTGCCGGGTCGGAGCTGGGCCGGCTTCTGCCAGGACCGGTGTCAACTGTGTGCATGTGCCTCTCTAGACACAGGCGCAGAGGCGGAGCTCATCACTCAGATGTGTTTTTTGCGTTCAGTAATTTCCTTCTTCCAGTGCCAGCGGGGCTGCTGACGACTCATGCGAAGCCTCGTGCTCAGGGACCTTCTGTGCCAGTTAATGAAGGAATGGTTAAGAGCAGTGTGGTAGAATCGGGGTGTGGAAGAGCTGGGGATGGTGTAGCCAAAAAAGCAGTGACAGAGCCGCGTCAAAAGACAGCTATTGGAAAGCAGCCCAGCTCTGTGACTTCCCAGCTGAGGCATCTTTAGCAAGACCCTCGGCCCTCTGGGAGGGTCAGTTTCCTCATCTGTAAACGGGGTACCATTCGATGAGGTTTGGGGACAGAAAGGGGCTGTGGAAGAGCCAAGCGCTCGCCCTTTGCATGCGCTTTGTCTTGGGGGATTTCATCGTGTCGATGATTCGGATGTGTCCTTAGTGTGTGGGCACTGTGGCCTGTCGCTACCCACAACGTTTGCCTTAATTGAGGGCCCGGACCCCAACCAGGTGGGAAACTGTCTCTTTGGGGCCATTCAGGCAGGATAGATGAGGACCAAGAGACAGCTCAAGCCGCAGGTGCGAGAGAGTGCCTGGGCCATTAGAAATGTCCAGGGACCTGAGAGCGCCACCCGCCTTCGCCTTTCTGCAGCTGCCAGCAAGCTGTCTCCCTCTTGGACCCAAATGGGGTTTTCCTCTAGGCCTCAGGGCCGAACCTACAGGGACTCTTTGTCCAGAGCAGAGGTTGGGCTCTACCCAGAAGTGACTTTACTGGTAGAAGGCAGGCTGGGTGTGAGGTTGCAGTGAGCCTGTTTCTCCGGGCGTCTTGGGGCAGGTCGGCCTGGCCCAGCCTGGACAGCCAGCTCCCCAGGCCTTGGTTCCTGGCGGGGGGTGGGGAGAACGCTGCAACAGCTGGCTGGAGCCTGGTGTCTGTGTCTCATCCCAGTCTGGGACTTCTAAATTTAACCTGCTATCAGCTTGAGAGGCTGGAGGCTTCCACTGTGTGACGAAATGCCACTTGGAATCCATTTTACTCGTAACCACTCCCCCTGCGCATTCCCCTCCCAAATGTTACCCCCGAACGCAGGCAGCCGTCTGAGCGTCCTGCCATGTCAGTGTGAAGGTTCGATTGCCTGAGCAACTCTGAACCCTGATGGGATCCGGCTCAGCTCCCTCCTGCCATTGGCCGGGGCTACACCCCGTTCTCTGTTGACACACACGCACACGCACACGCACACACCATGGTCTCACAGGCAGAGCACAGGAGCTGAATCCACAATCGAAAGCCAAAGCACGACAGTGAGCTGCACCACCCATAAGCCATCTGGGTGGAGGGCGGCCAGTGGAGCCTATTATGCAATTTCCTGCTTTGGTGTCTCAGAGGAGACACCCAGGAGACAGGATGCAGAATGCCGTTGGGTTGCTGCAGTGTGGGAAGCCCAGGGAAGAAACCAACTCCCCGATGCCCAGAGTGAACGGGGCCCCTCCTGCTCCGTGGCGATGTTGAGAGGCCACCGCCCACCCAGCCGACGAGCCCGTGGCCTGCAACTGACCAGGCAGCCCCTCGCAGGCAGGGACCGAGCGGGCTCACCGTGGGCCACGGAGAACTGACAGCACAGACTTCCTGTGGCGGGGGAGGAAGGCACTTCCTGCCTGGGGAACCCAGCGTGGAGTGAGCTGCAGGCGGGGGGTTCTTCTTGTTAATAGGTGCTGTTAATTACTGAGCCCAGAACGTGTGCTCCACAACGACTCGTTGAGGTTGAGAGCGCACAGGGGACGGTTTGGGCCCTGGGGCCGGGGTTCAAATCCTGACTCTGCACCTTCCCAGGTGCGTGGCCTTGGGCAGCTTCTCGACTTCGGCTCTCCCTCAGTTTCCTCACCTGTGAAATGGGGATCGGGATAACATCTGGGGTGTTGTGAGGATTTGGTGAGTTAACACCCAGAAACCGAGTAGAATAGGGTGTTCTCACTGTGTCAGGTAGGAGGCGGCTACTCAGAGAACCCCCATCTTCCATACAAGGTAAACGGGGTCAGAGGGGCTCAGTGTCTTGCCCAGACTCACAACAATGACCTTGAATCCATGGTCCACCTTCAGAGCCCACACCCACTCCAGACCTCTGGGCTGCCCCACCTCTCATCCTTCCATAAGGAGGTTCCAGTAGGAGGAGAAGATATTTACTATCAGTGCACTGGCCACACGACCCCTTTCGGCAGCTACAGGCAAGGGCAGGGGCAGGGCCACGGCCTAGGTTGACCTTGACTTAGCAGCCGCGTCTCCATGTGAAGACAGGTTTGCAAGTCTGTGGGTAAGGACCCAGTCTAAACACTAACCCCTCTTGCCACACAGGTTTCTACTGTTTGCCAAAAAGCCAAGCTGCCCCCAAGTCCTAGCGGCACATCCAAGTCTCCTGCCCCTCCTCCACACAGGGCCCCAACCAGGGGGCACTTTGGGTGGGGACTGAGGTCCAGAGCTGTGGAGAGCAGAGGATGCCATCTGTGAAGTGGCCCACCTCCTCCTGGGTGGAGGCCCTTAGCACCAGAACCCCCAGGCTCCAGCCATATACCCACCCCCCCCAGATACATTCACTCCCCAGGCCAGAGATCCAGAGCCGTCAGCCCCCAAATGAACCGCCACTTCGGAAGCATCCAGCTCCTAGCCAGGCCTACTTGAAAATTACATTTTATTTCTCTTTGTGAATATTTGTTGTTGTTTTAAAAAGGTTCATTTTACATTTTCTTCAAGAGTCTTGTGCCTCCTAGTAAGTGCATTGGTCTGTTTTCACAGTACTCTCCACGACCACAGACGGTCCTTATTGCTGGAGGAGTGTGTCCACGCCGGGGAGGGGGACACCAGAGGGATCGGGGACCCAGGTGAGAAGCCTGCGCTCTGCGTTCCTGACATGAGAAGCCGAGGGACCAGACCCAAGCTAAGCCGAGCTTCCTTAGTGGGACCTGGAGCCTCCCCAGGGCCCTCCCAGCCCTGTCTTCCGAAAGGCTAGGAGGGGCAGAGAGCAAGGGGCCGGGCAGTGAGGGGCGGGGCGGAGCAGCAGGGCTCCTCCCAATGGGCCCAGCCGTGGGCCCCTGCCCAGGGCCTGCTCACACGCAGGAAGCGCGGGCGGGCTTGGGGGACTCTGCCCCCAGACAGCTCAGGACCACCACTTACTGTTGGTTCCTACGCCCACCCCTACCCTAGTAAGAACTCCTTAGCGATGACCCAGCCCAGAACCAGCACTCCGGTCCCTGACCCCTCACCCAGGGCCCTTTCTCCTTTGTAGTGCAAGAAAGACCTGAGTGCAGAGAAGGGCCGTGCCATCAGGAGGCCAGGTCCCGGCCGCGGCAGCCGGCCACCGCCACCCTGACCCCTCCGCAGCCTGTGCCCAGAGGGGGAGCTGGGACCCATCATGCCCCTCACTTGAGGCTGTGGCCTCTCTGGGTGGCAGGCCTCCCTCCGAACACACCAGGGGGAACTGGCACTTTCCAGGGGGAAGGTCCCAGTCCTGACAGGGGTTCCCAAAGCACCAGGCCGGCAGCCGGGCCGCACGAAGCTGTTTCCCGTCCAGAGTTTCCAGGAGAGCCGCACGCGTCCCGTCAGGAGCGGGGCACTCGGGCGATGGCTGGACGTTAAGCACCCCTCGAATAAATACAGTAGCCCGTGGGTAAAGGAGCAGAGCAAGGACTCGTGAACCACGCCCGCCCACGCTGTCCCTGGGGCTCCTGCGTACGGCTCAGTTGCAGCAGAGATGGATTATTTCTCTCATCTGACAGTCTTCTGGGCTTGATCATTATCGGTCTGAATGAGGAACCCAGGCGATGTAGCTGTGGGTTTGTCAAGCTTGGAGGAAGGGGGCCTCCCTCAGCAGGGTGTCCCCCCTCAGCTCCTGCAAGCAGCCTTCAAGGCAGACATTGCTATAAAAGCTTGGCGACACTCAGGACCAGGTCCTGGGGCTCCAGAGGGCCCAGGACCCGAAGGAGGGTGACCTCAAGGACCAGCCTCAACCCCAGGCTCACTTCATCACCCTGGCCGTGGGTGCTGGCTCGCTTCTGTGAGGGCCGGCAGCAGGGGGTCTGCCCCTTGCCTCCCACCTCCCCAGCCTTACCAGGTCCAGGCATGCCCATCTGTGGGTACCCTCACCTGCAGTGCCGCGGTGCTTGGAGCCGATCTGCAGGCACCCCCCGGAGAGCCCGGGAGGGGCGTCCCCGAGAAGGTGCTGGGCGGCAAGGGCAGGCCTTCTTACCTTTGAACTACAGCTGGGTAAGGTGGCTGGCCCTCCAGGCGTTTGGGACAGTGTGGATGGAAACAGAAAAGCTGCCCACTGAGATGTGCCGACAGAGCCAGCTGGCGATGGGCGCTGAGGACCGAGACGGTGGGAATTCCCTGGGCTCAACCTATAACTCACGGGACCCTCCCTCTCTGCTCCTAGGCCCACCCAAGGCAAGTTCCGGCTGCAGAGGAGAGAGGAGAGAGAAGCCCCCCCGCAGATCTACCCTGAGCCCGAGCTCACAGCTTGTCTCTGCAGGCACGGAGTAGGGTAAGGGTTCTACCTGGGGTGGAGAGAAGGGACTTAGGGGGCAGAATCTGCCTGTGGTTTCGGCTCAGCTAAAACGGAAGAATGAGCAGCCGGTTTTAGATCTAAATCTGTAGCCCAACCCCCTCCTCCCTCACCTCTGGCGGAAGATGCAAAGTCCAGCAGAAAAGACAAACTGCTCTCTTTGTTTCCGGTTTTTTCCTTTAAAATCGGCTTAAGGCAAAAGTTTGGCAAAGCAAGTCTACATAAGGCCGCGTGACAGAGGATGAGGGGAGCTGCCCGGGCGGGGCGGGGCGGGGCCGCCGCGGGTCAGCCCCGGTGGCATCAGCCCCGGTGGGATCAGCCCCAGTGGGATCAGCCCCGGTGCGGTGCGACCAGGCTCATCACCAGCTCCTCCTCGTCCCACCCCTGAACCTCTTAAAGAGGCGTTAAAAAAAAAGGAACGGAAAAAGCAGTTGTTTCAGGGAGTCTGTTGCAAGTGAATGACGGAAATTGCGAGGCGAGGAAAGGAGACCCAAGGTGACACTGAGGGCGCACGTGGAGTGGTCGGTCCCGCCTGGGTCTCCCCCCTCCGCCAGGGAAGCAGGTCCCAGGAGGGCGGGGGGCCATCCCCGCGCGCTCGCACAGTGAGATCCGCCCGCTGGAGAAGGTAGAAAGGTTGTATTTTGCTGAACGACTGCAGAGTCCGTGCGGGTTGTTTGCGTGGTGTTATTATTTGCGTGTCACCTCGCGGGTGCCCTGGCTGTTACCGGTGCTTGGGCGGGATCACCACCAGCGCCGGCCCGTACTTGGGCCGCCACATGAGGACCTGAGCGTCGTTGGCGTTGGGCTTGACCAGGGCGCTGGGCGGGATGGGCTCATTCTTGCTCAGGATTTTGGGCTGGTCCTGGGCGATGGGCTCCCGCAGCCGGGCGCGCTGGCCCAGGGGCCGGCTGGGGTTCACCTCGATGCTGAGCTGCATGCGCCAGTGCAGTGTCTGCAGAATGATCATGTCGTTGGTCGAGGTGTTGGTGGCTACCAGCCACGTGATGAAGCTCTGGTCCCGGTAGACGCTGGTCAGCTTGGCCGCACTGCCCTCGCTGACGGGCGCGGCCCACGTGACGCTGGGGTAGAAGTTGTCGTTCATGCTGATGATGAACTTGGAGTCTCTCCTGGTGGGGCCCACGATGGTGCAGGTCTCCGTGGTGTTGCCGTACCAGGGGTAGTTCACCCCGTCCGAGTCGCTGATGGCCTCAATCTTGCCCTCCTGGAGGTCTGGGAGCTCCCAGCTAGACCTGAGGATGGGAAGGCCAGTTTACTCAGCCAGCCACGCACAGGCTCGTCTGCATCCCCTTGTCCCTGGGGCTTACCTCCCCAGGGGCCCAGACAGTAAACAGACACCCAACATCATGTCAGGGAACTGGGGCTCCCCTAGACATGGCCCCCCTCAAAAGCCACATCCTGTTGTCTTGCATCATCTCAAGTTGGTCTCCCCCGGAAACCACTGTAGACAGGGCTGGATTCTGGCTGGGCTTCGGGAAGCCCTCCCTGCCCTCAAGGGAGGGGCCTGGGGGCAGCACACAGTAATGGGGGGCCCTAACCTGCGCTGTGCCCCCCCCCCCGTCCCATGTCCCAGCGGCTGGTGGGACGGCCACATGCAACCCTGTGACCTTGGTTAGGGCGGAGGCCACTGGCCCCGAGAGGCTGGGGTGGGGCTACTCTCCTGGCCACACAGCGCGTCAGGGCGGCCTGGGTAGGAGTGCAAGTGGCAGGGAGTTTCTTTCTCTTGCTTTAGGGGCCCCCAGTGGCCGTGGGGCTGGCACATCTGGGAGTGATTTCAGCCCCTCACTGACAGCGTGTGACCGGGGTCAAATGCCCGCCTGCCCCCGAGCTTTGGTGTCCAGCACCGGGGCCAGGGGCATGGGAACCAGCGCTCAGGGCCCTCACCAAGGCTCTGGCCCCTCCCCTCCACATCTCCTCCACCACACGTGGGCCTGGGCTCCCTGGCCCTCTGCCCAGCAAGGCCAACACCGTGGGCGGTGCCCTCTTCTCCCCACCGCCCACCCTGCCCCCGCCTTGTTTCTGCTCATGCCTGCCTAGAATAGGAAGCACAGCTCAGCCAGAATGGCTCCCACCTGGCTGGCCCCTGTCTTCGGAGCAGTAGAACCAAGAAAACCTAACCAGCCGGTCTCAAAACTCTGCTCTCAGTCCCAGCCTCGGGGCCAGCTTTACAATCAGTGCCTCCTGGACTTGCCGCAGCTGCCGGGGAACCTGCAGTTGCAGCTTTGGGCCGGGCTGAGAACCGGCAGCACTTGGTCAGCCCGACCTGCCTGCAGGGGGCTCAGCCTCCTGGCAGCCAGGCTGTCCAGAGCTCGGACTCAGGAAACCTAGTGACCTTGCTGAAAGTCTCAGCCACCCTCTCACTGGTGTGAGACCCTGGGCAAAATCCCAGCCCTCCCTGGACCCCAGACTCATCACCCACTTCCCACCTGAGGTCATGGAAGGACACAGGCAGGAACATGCCAGTCCAGGGCAGGGCACGGCACAAGACAAATGCCAGTGATTGGTGCCTGCTAGCACCATTGCTGTCACTATTGTTACTATAATAATAACTCTGACAGAAGAGGACTGTCCTGAGTTGCTCTGAGGACACGTGGCTGGGGGCACAGCAGCGTCTGGGGAGCCCACCCCTTAGAAACTCATCAACAATCACATCCACCCCACCAGACAGATAAAGTAACGACAGCTGTGGGGGGGGGGGATCTTTTTCCCAAGTTGATTTAGCTAAGCAATCAGGCCTGGGCACCTGCCATACCAAAGATCAGGACACTTTGCCCCCAGAATTCCGCACACCTGTGTACACTAGCGGTGCTCTCCAGAATATACTCCTTTACAAAATGCATTCCTGTTCACAGCAGCATTATTCACAATAGCCAAAAGGTGGAAACAACTGAAGTGTCTGTCAACGGATGGTGGATAAAGTGGTCTATCCATGCAGTGGAATATTATTCATCCTTAAAAAGGAAATTCTGACACATGCTACAACATGGATGAACCTTGAAGACGTTATGCGAAGTGAAATAAGTCAGACACAAAAGGACAAATACTGTATGATTCCACATATATGAGGTCCCTAGAAGAGTCAAATTCATAGAAACAGAAAGTAGAATGGCGGTTGCCAGGGGCTGGGAGAGGGAAACGGGGGAGTCAGCGTTTCATGAGTGCGGAGTTTCAGTTGGGGAAGATGAAAATGTTCTGGATATAGACACACAACAATGTGGATGTACTTAATGCTGCCAAACTTAAAAATGGTTAAGATGGTAAATTTTATGTGTATCTAATCACAGTGTAAAAAATGCATCGTTTAATGTTAGCAGTTAGCAAATTTGGGGCCACTACAGGAGGGATGATCAGGAATGTGATTTTGCTAATTTTTCTGTTTATTTCATTAAAAAGGTCACAAAATTAGGGTAACACCTGCCTAGTAGGCCATCTCCTGCCCGGGGCCCTGAGCTCATCAAACGCCAAGGAGGAGGTCACAGTCGTGAGCCGGCAGATTCGGCTGCCCCCGGGGGTGGCCGCCATGGACCAGAGAAGGGGGTCAGGGTCCCTGTCCCGAATTTCTCAGGAGCCTGTGCCCCACCCGTGCCCAGCCTCCTGTGGTGGAAGGCACCCCCTCTGTCTTCTCACAGTGGTTACACTTGCTTATAAAAGTGGTTTTTGTTTTGTTTTGTTTTTAAGGCAGAAAGCCATCTTGCCAAAAGACCTTTTCTCTTGCCTTTGCCCTCTTTCACTTCCTAAGAGCTGGCTTGCTGTGGGACGCGGGGTTGCCACCAGAATGGCCTCTCTCTCTCAGCCTCTGACCCCCAGCTTCAGGTTTCCTTTTCCGCCTCCCAGCCCCCAAATGCCCAGGCGCTGGCTCAGTCACAGATGGGTGACAGTCCCCATGAGCTGGCAGACAGCTGTGTCTCATGTGGGGTATTACTCAGAACCAGGGCCAAGGGCGTCTGTTTTCAAATCATCACAAACCAGCTGGGCTGGCTCTGGGCCCCGTGGTCCAGTCTCCCTGTCAAGGTGGTGGAGGGAGCATGGTTAAGGGCACAGCTTCTGAGGGACGTGGACCAGCCCGGGTCCAGTCTCCCCCCTGGCTACTAGTCACAAATCTCTGAGCCCCACATTGGTTCACTGTGGATAACCGCACCCACCTTCAAGGTTTTTGAGATGATTAAATGCGTCAATATATACTACCTGGTACATAGTAAACAGCAATACGTGGAAACTTCCGGAGACCATTGGAGTGACGCTTGCCTCTAACACTAATGGATTTGCCAGCCCTGATGTGACCTGAAGGCTTTTGACCTCATTTATGTTTTCAGATTATCCATGCTCTGAAAGGAATGATTCCATACAGCTCCTGCCTCTAAGACTTCCTGTTTGTTCTGGAATGACCTTGGGCTTCAAGGCAGACCCTTAGTTTTCCACCTTCTGGGTGGAGGGGTGAGTTTAGACCCTGGTCCTGCACACCCTGAGCCTTCTTGTTTGCACAGGAGGGACAATACAGGTGCACATGCCAACGAAAGGTGTAGGCAAGGCTCCCAGCTCCGTGCCCGGCACACGGATGCCCAACCAGCAGATTTAGGTGGAGGAGGGGCATTTTGTGAACACGAGCAAACGCCCATTTCTGCCCCAGCACCTTCTCTCCAGACCTCAGGGCAGGTCGTGTCAGGCCTCCTACAGGCCAGCAGGAGGCCCTGGTCTCCCCCATGTCCTCCCCCTTTGCTCACTGGCCTGTGCTGGTCTTCAGGGCAACACTGGCTACAGAATTTGTGGGACCAGGGGGTGAAGTGAAAATAGGAGGCCCCTTGTCCAAAAATAAAGAATTGCCACGTGGTGACAGCAGAGCATGGAACCACGCAAGGGGCCCTTCTGAGCATGGGGCCCTTTTGAGCACGGGGCCCAGTGGGACGGTGCAGTCCCCACACCCGGGAAACTGGCCTGCTTCCGTGGGCCCTGTCACACTCCCACCCTCATCCCAGAGGTGTGGGAACCCAGAGGACAGCAGGCAAGTCCAGGCTTGAAGCTGGACCTCAGAATGCTTTCTGGGGCCCCCTTGCCGCACATCTGAGACAGACTCCTCAGCGTCCCTCAATGCCCATTCCTTCTGCAGCCCCATCCACCATGCACGCAACAGATGTTTGCAGGGACCTGCCATTGACGCCGGTCACGATGCTGTGAAAGGGAAACAGAGCTGCTGACCTGGTCATCAGTGATGCCAGGGGGGCCTGCACCCTCTGGGCACCCAGTACCATCCCTGACTCCCTCTCGCCTCCAGACTGCCCCCCTTCTGCTCTGCCTGCGCCCTGGCCACGACCCCTCACCTCTCCCAGCCTCCTCTTGCCACCTGCCATGCTCTCCTCCCTGAAGCCTGAGTGATCTTTAAAAACAGAGATCTGATGGAACTGTTCTCCCTCCAAGCCTGTTAAGCCTGCCATGACTCCCCAAGGCCCTGAAAGCCAGATGCAGGTGAAGCCAAGGGTCTTGCATGCAAACACACACACACACACACACACACACACACACACACACACAC